CAGTTCAAATTAATATGACACTCATATGGCCTTTATGCTACATTTAGACACAATGTCAGCTTTATTCCCTGTGAGAAAAAAGTACCAGTTAAGTAACAGTTACTGAGGAGAAGCATATTAATTTCTTACTCAAAGACCAGCATTAGTTTGTGGGTAGATATCAGTACAATCTTTTTTAATTTACTGCCTATCAAATGCATGACTCTGAAAATGAAAAGGAATTAGAAAAGTCAAATATGCTCTTCCCTACTCCTCTGAGATCTGATTTCCTTCTCTTTACCATGCAAATGAGAAAAAGAATTGAAAGAAAATTAGGCAAACTCACTCCTTGAGCTAGAGAATACTTATAATGAAAAAAAAAAAAAAAAAGAATGGAACTGAGTTATTACACTGTCCACCACTATATAAAGTTGCTAGAAAGTAGTCATAATATGTTAAAAGTTAAAAGATATCCAAATATTTTGAAAGCTTATTGTTACTATTGCTGGTCTGTCCCCAGAAACATTTGGGGACCCCTGGTTTAACAATATTAAAAATACCAAAATGGACTCTTTCATCCTTCTTCATGCCCACTTTATCTTCCCCTGCTGCTTCAATGCCATGAAAAGGTAAAGCAGATGACAAAACATCAGTTTTTCACTATAAATCAGTGTTAAAGAAAAAAAAAAAAAAATAGAGCTGCTATAGTTGCAAAATACCCTGTCTTAATTGTTACAATTTTACAAGTATCAGCAAAAGTGTCTTTTTACTACATACTGCCTTTCATGTAGGGACTATCTCTGCTGTCAAAAATGCTCTTAAATTTTTTATTATTATTATTCTGGTAGTTTTTCAGGTTCACTAAGAACTTTGAAAGAGAAGAACTTAAATCTGTCTATGTAAAAGGTTTAATTCAAAGTCAATCTATCCTTCCATAAATATTTTAGGGAGTTACTTTCAGTTCAGCTGGACAGAAAAGAAATAATTTCTTGTAAGCCTCTTTTAGAAACAATTACTTCTATTTAGAATAAGTCAATACCTAAAATACCTGAAGGAAGAGACTAATTTGGAGGATACACCTTAGAAATCTTGCTTGTGCTAGGAACCTGGAACATGTGTCTGATTTTATTGCTTTTAGGTGGTGACCAATTTCCTAGCAGTATTGTCTTATCAACTGTGTTATAGGTTTTACATACTGATCTGTGATTTTATTTCCCTAAATTAGTGATAGTAACTTATATTATTAGAGTCCTGAATAGGCAGGCTGCTAGGTCTACAGGATTCTGGTGGAAACAGGTATTGGTTGAGCTTTCTGGAAATCTAGTAAAAGCTATTTGAAAAGCTAAAAACATAATTATCATATAACCTATATTATATACTCACTGAACATTTGTGAATAAATTTTTAATTGAAAGTAAAAACAGATCAATGACATAGATAAGACTAAGACTTTTGTAACATGATTGAATGTTTTACTAATCCTCAAACTAACACTCAAGGGTCATCTGTGACTATAAATTGTCTGAGACCCACAATTATACTCTTGAGTATCTCCAGGATTCTTGGATAAATGCCCTCCAATTTCAGCTATTTATTTGCATCTACTTTGTCATTAGGTTAAGAACATACTGTGCCTTTGTCACTATTTGTTCTAGTACCTCTGACCTTTCAATTCAAGTTGGAATTTGGGAGGGATAATCTTCTTAACATCTTCCTTGCAAAGAATGAAGCCAAAGTTGATTGGGTCTATGCCTTTTTTTCCCCCCTCTATGTCATTACTATAGAACTGTTTCACTTTGTCATTAAACTGTGCTATGTTGGATTGGACTCACAGAATTGAGAAGGAAAGAAACCCATTTCCTACATTATTTATTATGAAACTCTCAACCCCTAAAAGCTACTAGTTTTTCCCATGCCCCACCATTGTTTCTCTCTGACAAGAAAACGACCTAGCACTTCCTGTCTCATCTCCCAAGAGTGATAACCAGAAAGACTGCAGGGCCAGGTGACTCTGACATGGACTATACTGTTTTGCTTGAGTAAAAAAGGTAAATGAGAACTTTGGATTGAAGCCCCAATCTAGTCCAAATTAGAATGGGGGTGGGCAAGGGAGGCACAAGTTATTTGACTCCTCTGACTTTAATTTGCTCATCAAAAAAATTAAGAATGGCAATAATTATCTATAATAACTGATTACTGGATCATGATTACTTAATAACTTGTCCATGATAACTGAAGAGAATTTGATATGATCTTACCTGTGAAAAGTGAATTGGAAACCATTGGAAAGTTAATAGTTTAGATATTGTTGGAGTCTAAAAAGCACAGAACTCATGATGTTCTTTAGATTAATGGTAATTTTTAAAAGTCTTATAAGTTGGAGAGCCATTCACAGTGATATTAGTGATGAGTTAACTGCTTTTCTTCTCATTCCTATTATTCCCCTCATTATGGAGCGTTTACAGTCATAAAAAACCCATCAAAAAGACAGAGCTCAAGTCCATATTCTGAAACAGAAACACATATTCAAGAGTGGGGAAAAAATGGCTCAACAAACCACAGATTTTTGTTAAATAGAATTCAGCTAATGTCTCCAAATAAACGTAAAAAAGTAAAGACCATCTATTTGCTTTCTGAGTCTTTCTCTTTTTTTTTTTTTTTTTTTAGATTTATTTATTTATACAAGCATGGGGTACAGGCCAGAGGCACGAGAGGGTGAGAGAATTCACCAGAGACAAAGCAGGGAAAAGAACAGGCAGACGGGCCGGAGTCACTGCTGAGGGGAGCAGCGGGCGAGACAGGAGAGGTCTGCCGCGCCATGTGGGTATCTCCCTGGCCAACCTAGAATCAAACCTGTGCTGCAGAGGCTGCGGACAGCTTCATAGCGCTGTGCTCAACCCACTGTGCCACCAAGGAGGCCCTGAGTCTTTCTCTTTCTAAGCTTACCGTGGGATACAGACATGGGCTTCAGAAAATCCACACACTGCCTATATGATATAAAATAGTCTGTGCATGCATCTTTCTAGAGAAGTGGTCCTTACTCTTCAGTGGAGATGCACGGCTCAACCAAGGTAAATAATGACTACTCTGTGTGGCCCCTAACTGAAAACCAATCACAATGGATGTCTGTGAACTTAAGACCTACTTTTCAGTTTTCTTTTATCTACAACAGGACTGTAGGTCTTTTTTTTTTTTTTTTCAGTAATTGTAGTATTTGTTTGTTGCCTTAGAAACAACAAAAAGTCAATGACTGGCACATCACTCCCTGCTCAGATGAAAAATGCAAAAAGTTCTAAATATTACCCTTTGATCTCCCTAGCCTGCTGGGGTATCTCTCTGGAGTTTCCTTTGCAGGGCAATTTGGAAGTTTTGTTTAAACAGCTTCATTTTTTCATTTTTATTGGATAAGAAATTACTCCACGTTCTGTTCAGCAAGGAACACATTATTCTGTCATGGCTTCATAGAAAGAAGCATTTTCAAAATGAATGTCACATAGAGAAAAGATATAATTCTTGAAAGAAGTTTGGCTCAGTGAGATAAACAGAAAAAATTATTACGGAGAGATTTATAGGGAACAATGACCTTTGGCCACACAGGACTGTAGCTGAGAAAGCAAACTCCTTTCTACAGTTATTGACATTCGGGGTTTTTTTTGTTTGTTTGTTTGCATCAGACATTATATTAAGAGAGAATCAAAATGCCAGACCATTTTGGATACTTCTGAATACACAGAAGAAATATACACCTCTCTCTGGCTAAGTTATTCTTTGATTATAAAGTAGCCCCATCTACAGTATATTTTACTCTTTTAGCATAAACATATCTCTAGATATAAATAGTACTCCTGAATAACATACCGCATGAGCAGATTAGTCATCCCATAAGATCAGAATCACCATGCTATAAATGAAATAGTCAATGGTATATAACTTTGAGCACACATTTATTGCCCAAATTCTGTCTTCTTCTCACCAATAAAGAGTAACCAACACTCTCAATTAAATGCAGTCAACCTGATCAAATTTTCTCTTCTGCCCCCCCAAAAAAAACCTCTGAGGTAAATTTCTGATTACAGCTCCCCTTAAATAGAGACTCAAATGCTTCACCCAACTCCCTCAAAATGCTAGATGTTTTTATGTTGCATGCTATACCTAACCCTGAAGGATTCTGGGAGGTATACAACGCACAATAAAGAATGAAAGAAATGAAGTCTGGTAAGAAGGTATCAGCCAAGATCTCTTTAAACACAGTAAGTCAAGCACTGATTAGGCGGAGGTGTTCTAGTTTTTTTTCCATTCATCCTCCTCCTATTCCAACCAATCTCCAATCCAAATTCAGGTCCATGGTCCCTTATTGTAAACCTCAAAGACCGCCTATAATTTGGAATTCTGAACTTTTTGAACTTCAGAAAATTAATTGAGTACCTTAGATTATATAACTCATAGTGGGACCTGGATTAGCACCCCATATCAAATATATCAATATTTCTGCTGCAAAACATAGGAATAGTCACTTGAATTGTGAGAACAAAGACTATACACAGCCTTATTTCAACAATTCAAATTATTAAGCCAAGTGAGTCTTTGTCACCAAATTAATTTTCAAGGTAACATGTTGGTCTTTTAATTCATCCCAGACGTAGTTCCCAGTTCTCATATTTATGCCTTTCATAGATATCACTAGTTGCCTCAGTAGTCCCAAGTTCCCCAGATTTCACTTTACTGTTTAAATAAAATGAGTCAGGTTCCCATCCAGTGTGCTGTGGGAAACCTCCTGTTAGATACCATGGGTCCAGTTTTTCTGTTTCATCCTTTCTGTAGGTTCCATTCTCAAAAGACTACCTTCTCTCTTGATCTTCTTTCAGAAGCTCCAAAGTTCTTCCATTTAAGACACTAAGCAAGCAATACAGCACCCTCATGGGCTCAGTCTATCCTGTCTTGGCAAAGCTCATGTGAGAATGAGGAGGAGAGGTAAAGAGAATTGTGGGGAACATCCTCAGAGTGGCCAGTAGGATACTTACTCAGACAGTCTTTTTTTACATAAGGGACTTGAGCATCTGGATTTTTGAGCATGTGGATTTTAATTTCCACAGGATCCTGGAACCAATCCCCTAAGGACAGCAAGGCACAACTGCAGAGAAAAAAAACACATTTATCAATTATCAACTTTATAGACTTTGTGTAAATTATGAGAAACCTGAAATTCTTAACTTTATGTCCCATTGTTGAACTGATATGAAAAATATTCAATGGTGATGGATTCTTTATTTGATTCTCAGAGATCTCAAGGACAAGACTGAGAAGGAAAATAAGCAAGAAGAGGTTGACAACTTAGATGATTGTATCTGGGGCATGGCAAGGCCAGATGAAACAAGCCAGCCTGTTGTTACAGAATACCTCTTCATTTACTCAATGACTATGTGTTGAAAGCATGTACTACTGTTTATCAGAATGAATGTTGAGTAGTAGGTGCTCACAATACACAAGTCGCTGGAGGCAGTGTTCTCCTCCCCTGGACACCAAATGTCAATGAAATAAAAGTCAGATTTCCTATATTTCCATACCTGAGCACTTTCACCTTCTCATAATGTGCTCCATGGTTAAAAAAATGAATCATTAATAGCCTCTTTTTCATTAGAGGAGAAAAATGTATGATAGGTGTTAGACTATAAGACAAGAAGAGAAAGATCATTCCACAGCCTACTTTTATTCTACAGTTAACAAAAAATATCTTGCCTTTTTTTTCCCTTGAAACCACCACCTACTTTAAAATACAATATAAGAACACAGGAAATTTGACAGAGTATAATTACCTATTCCTTCCTTTAAAAAAGAAAGGTACAAGAATAAAAAGATCATCAAGTTCTAATAAATATCTCCAAGAGGTATAGAACTATCACTGGTTCTAATGACACTAGTGTAGCAAGTTACTTTTAATTAAAAAGTATCATGACAATCCAGTCTTTGTACACTATTATTCTGAAGTTAAATTTAGGAAGTTAGGTGAACTTATAGAAGTTATTCCATGTGCATTTATTACATAAATGAGAAGAAAAAACACTCAATTACTAAAATCACTAAATCCAAATATATTCCCAACATGTTCTCAGAGATACCAGTTTTCTTTTAGTTGGAAGTTCACATCATTTTTTATACTTTTTTAAAATTTGAGCCTAGCAAGAGAGTGATGTAATTTTACTTTAAAATCATTTAATATTTTTGATTGTAAATGTGATATGAGGAAAAAAGGAGAAACTTCAATAAACAAGTAACAGTATTACAAAGAATGAACAATGAAAATAAAAGTAACTGGTAATCTTGCTGTCTAGTGACTAGTTAATATTTCCATGACCTTTCTACAAAAAACCGAACAGAAAACTCCTATGTACTTTATAATTTGAAAATTTTAAATCATGCTTTATCTGTTTCAACTTTTTCCTTTTAGCATGTAGCATATATGTTTTCCTATTTGAACAATAAAGATCCATCATAGTCCAATATTTCATTACATAACATAAGCCTTGTTCAATCCATTTATCCAGTACGTGAGAATCCCCTATAGCCTGTAAGGATCATATACAATCTGATTCACAACAAACTATACATTTGTATAACTGACTGTGTGATTGTCTAGAGAAGCGATAATAACTTAACTCTTCTCCCTCTTCTTCTTTTTTTTTTTTTTTAGAGGCATGTTTTTATTTATTTATTTGTTTGTTTGTTTTTTGTTTTTTTGTTTTTTTTTTTATACAAGCACTGGGTACAGTCAGAAGTGCGGGAGGGTGAGAGAATTCACCAGAGTCAGAGCGGGGAGCAGAGCAGGCAGAAGGACCGAAGTACACTGCTGAGGGGAGCAGCGGGCGGCAGGAGAGGTCTGCGCGCCATGTGGGACCCTCCTCCGGTGGCCGGGGAGCAGCCGGGGATCGAACCGGCGCTGCAGAGGCTGCGGGCAGCTTCGCAACCCAGCGCTCTACCGCTGCGCCACTGGGGAGGCCCTCTTCTCCCTCTTCTTAGGAGGAAATTTATTTATAAGCCATAATGCTCCTTTGTACTACCATCAGAACATGTGAAACTCTTTATTTTTCCATTGAGTTTATTATTTAACCCCTCTATTAAAAAGTGGAAGACACCAAAATGATACTTCTTCTGAAAAACAGAAACACAAAGAGCTTCATTTTTTAATCAACGTGAAACAGTTGTTTCTAGTCCTTGAATCTTAGTTGAGGAGTCTACAATTATCATGGCAGCACCCCCAGAAGAAAAATTATGTTGCTCAGACATGGGTTCCTAAGAATATCCTGACACCAATAAACTTAGAAACCTAAGAGTACCTAGCAGTTCCCCTTGCAGTTAATTTGTGATGTGGCTTATATAAACTCACTTAATTTTTCCCGTGTTTGTTTCCTCACCTGTAAAATCAGGAATAGAAATAAATTCTCGAAACTGGTCAATATTTATTAGTGTTTTGAGAGCATATTAAGGATCTGAGCACTGGTTAGAATAAATTTAAATATTCAAATCAGTGTCCATATGTGTCCTGGGTCAAATACTTAATTTTTAAGAGATTTTGGTCAATTCATTTTTCAACAAGTTCACCAAAGGATTGTGCAGGCACTTGAAACACTACACCAATGTCTTTTGTTGAATAAACATAAAAATAAATGTTAAGAACTGAACATACCAAAAGTATATAGAACTAGAGAGCAATTGAATTTTCAATAAAATATGAATTTAATGACATTTTTTTTCTTTGCTGCCTAGATATTCTTTTACAACATGAAATTATAGTAACCACTGACATATCATTATAAATACCATACAACTAAAATTGACTTATTAGAATAAGACTTAGCAAGTTAAATATTTCCTTTTAATTGTATTTTAAATAATTCTGTCTTGTTGGCCCTGAAGGAAAATCATCTATCTGCATTAAGAAAATGTCATTTCTGAAACTGACCAAAATTGTGCAGCTTTTCCCTGTGAGAGTTAATCTAGCCAATAAACACTTGACATTATCATGTGCCAAGTATATTCTTAGTATTAGAAGAACAACAGTAAGCAAAACATATCCAAATCATTATCTTTGTAAACTTTACACTCTAATAAAATGAGAGAAGAGACAGAAAAATAAGAAATAAAAAATAAGTGTATGTCAGATACTGATAAATGCTATTTAAAAAGTAAAACAGAGGTGGGCGGAGCAACATGGCGGCGAGGAGACGCTGCGAGTAAGATCTCCCATTAAAAAAAGTTAATAGGGAGGAAAAGCGGCAGGTCCCAGTGAGAACTGGGACACGGAAGATAAACGGACGACTCCAGCAAACTGCCCAAAGAAGAAAGTTGCCATAAAAGAGGACGAGAAGGGAGGGAAGCGCAGAACCCTGCTCCCCTCCCCCGCCCACAGAGGCGGCACTCTCCGGCCAGCAGAGAGGAGGGAAACAACAAACCAAAACGGCCAACAAGAAAAACGGACACAGCAAGCGGGACTGTGAGTGGAAAGGAACTATTGCAGCCACCACACCCCGTGAACGGGAGCTGAGGCGAACCCTGCAGGATCCGCCGCGGAGGCTGCTTGAAACTGACAGATGACTCCTGGAAGAACCAGAGGGGAACAGAGAAGCCCACCCAAGATGCCGGCCAGTCCCAACAACACAGTGTCCCAACGCATACGGCAAATTAGAAAACAGACAGTAGGGAGGAGAAGAACCACACGCAACCTAGCAACTTTCCAGAGAAAAAGCACACCACAAAAAGAAAGCCAGCCCCCAGATTGCAAAGACAATAACTTGGAAGAATTTCTGAGCCTTCCAGAAAGAGAATTTAAAATTGCCGTGATTAAAAAACTGACAGAAGTCATAAAGGAAAACAATGATAAGGGAAAAATAATCAACGATCAGAAGAATGCAATTGAGTCCCTAGAGAGGGAAAACAATGGTCAGAAGAAAGAAATTGAGTCCCTAAAGAGGGAAGTAAAAGAAATGCAGGAGATCAAAGAATTAATGGAAGAACTAAAGAACTCCGGGAAAAGCAATGAAAGCAGAATAGATGAAATGGAAGAACGAATAAGTAATCTTGAAGACACAGAAATAAAAAGAACCAAAACAGAAAAGGAAAGAGAAGTACGAAGGAAAAAGAACGAAGAAAGACTTCGGGAACTATCTGACTCCATGAGGAAAGGAAATATAAGAGTTATAGGAATACCAGAAGGAGAGGAGAGAGATGTAGGAACAGAGAAAATATTCAAAGAGATAATTGAAGAGAACTTCCCAAATGTGAAGAAGGAGCTGAAAATTGATATACAAGAAACAAGAAGAACACCAAACTTCCACGACGAAAGGAAAAATACAGCAAGACACATAATAGTAAAGCTCCCAAGAATCCAGGACAAGGAAAAAATAATGAAGCTGGCAAGAGGGAAGAAACAGATAACATTCAAAGGAAAACCAATCAGGCTGACATCAGACTTCTCCGAAGAAACACTACGGGCAAGGAGAGAGTGGAGGGACATAGTCAACAGACTCCAAGAAAACAGATGCCAACCAAGAATACTCTATCCCGCAAAGCTCTCCTTACTCTTTGAAGAAAGAATATGGACCTTCCCAGACAAACAGAAACTCCGGAATTTCATTGCAACTAAACCCCCACTCCAAAAAATACTACAAGGAGTCCTAAAGCCAGAACCTCAGAGGGACGAATAACAATGAAAGAAGGCCAAAAAAAAAAAAAGTTATTCAAAGAATAAATAAATAAAATCAAAGGAAAGACAAACACAATGGCAAATACAGATGTTAACATATCAATATTAACTCTAAACGTAAATGGACTAAACTCTTCAATAAAAAGACACAGAGTGGCAGCCTGGATTAAGAAACAAAACCCAACCTTTTGCTGTCTCCAGGAAACACATTTAGCTACAAAAGATAAAAATAGGCTCAAAGTTAAAGGATGGAAAACATTCCTACAAGCAAATGGACCAAAAAAGAAAGCAGGAACAGCTATACTTATATCAGATAAAACAGATTTCAAACTCAAAAAGATAAAAAGAGACCCCAATGGTCACTACATTATGATCAAGGGGACAATACTTCAAGAAGAAATAACACTCATTAACATATACTCACCAAACAAAGG